ACTAAAATTGTTTAAAATAAATAGCACGTTTTATTATTTTAAAACGCTTTCAAGTTTTTATCTCATCTATGCTACTTAATTTCGTTTCTTTTCAGTGACATACCAGCTTGTGAAGGTATTTTGGACTAATGTGGTTTGGGGTATTTTGGACTAATGTGGTTTGATGTAACTCCTACCTTTTACTATTATAATAAAATAAAATGGTAATTTGTTATCATTTACTCACGGTTACCTTATTCATACAAGCACAACTCGGACTACCGTATATAAGACAGGCAAGGGCAAACAAATAGGGCAGCTGCCAAGGGTCCCCAGGAAATTAGAAATAAAATTAGAATTTGATGAAAATAAAGAAATAAAAATAGATATAGTAAAACATAAAAATAGGTCATTTTTTAAAAAAATAAATGGGTTAAAACTTTTCAAGTCTATGAATGTCACTGTTTTTGAGTTTCATATTTTTAATAATATTGTATATTGGTTCTTAGTTTTACTTTTTTTTACTTCACTTAGATCTCTGCAGAAAAAATAAAATAAAAAATTCTATGAAATTTGGCCGAAGTAGATGGTATGTGTAGTGGCATACCATACGAAAAGTATAAAAGTACCAAAAGGGCCCCTAAAATGAACCTTTGCCCTGAGCCCCCTTTTTCTAAGTTCGGCCCTGATGACAGAGTATTCTTATATAAAATATTTAGTTCGTAGCTGTACAGACCGTAATGTAACGCGAAAATGTGTGCGTTTTGTGATTCAAACGAAACTGGATCTTTATTCATAACTTACGAACGCAATATTATATATATAACTTCATTAAACACAAATACGGTATTGTAGGACTGGCATTTTACTGACTTCACATCTACATCAGTAGTGTATCCCCCTCTTAGACAATGTGGATACACCTGTTAATATCTAACTATAACTAACATTACCACCAGTAAACTAAAGTCAACCTTCCTTCTCCAATACAGGGTTGGTCCACATTGGTTAAAGATTTCTACACGTTTATCATAGGTTAAATATTCAGCTGAGTTGGTAAAATTCTACATTATGACAAAGCATAAATATTGCACATCCAAAGAAACTTGGGGGAGGAGGAGGGAAAACGTATATTTCTGTGACACTTAAAATAATATGCACATAATGTGTCACAAAGTTTTAAAATATCATTTGAGTTTTATTTGTTTACAAACTAGGTTACAGTTGATATTTCAGAAAGGGCTGTCACTTAGAAACTGTCGTTTTTTGGCAGTGTTCATGTATGGCCTCAACGTCCATTCAACATCTCCCACTGCTTCCTCATCCAAGGTGCACAACTTGATCTCATAAACTGCAAATATAACATTATTCCATTAAATATACATAAGTAATACTATAAAAAATACTTTATTCCTACAAGTTGTTGGAAAACAGAATTGACTAACACACTATTGTAAAATTACTTTTTTCTCTTTCTTTCTAAAAAAAAAGTCAAGGGCAAATGTTTCTTTCAACAATGTAGCCTTAGAAAGTGTTGGAATAAAAAGGAAAACAGTCTTTAGAATATTTCTGTTACTTGAATATATTTTTTTTCTTTAAAATTTAAACAGCTTTAAATTTCTGAATATGTTGCAAGTTGAAAACCTAAAAAGAATCAATAATTAGAATACAATAAAGGATATACAAAAACAATTAAACCACATCATATTATATTAATATGAACTTCAGGATGAAAGTAAAGCGTAAAATAGTTAACACCATAAACTTCAATATTCTCATACCACTTGCAATAAAAGCAACAAGAATTAAGAACAAAGAAACATGCACTATCAGCATATCTAAAATCAAGTAAACTAGACTGGTCTTTGGTTAGTAAAAGTTTCAGTTTTCTGTCTGGCATAGGCTAAATTAGAATGGATAAATTCAGCTCCATTAAGTATATAGCAAGTTGATTAGAAGTTATAAATCTTTCTAAAAAATATATAAATTGTATAAGGTAAGAAACTAGTAACTTTAGTGACAAAACCTAGTTGAAATGTGTGATTATGAGAGGATAGTATTGATATATTTGAAAAGCAAGAAAACCCAGGTAAATACCATGTGAAAAACAAAAATCACATGAATACTGGCTTGTATATATAACTTTATTTCCAATATCATCCTAACAGAGCTGTTTGCATGAACCTTTTCCCAATTCTTTCTTACCAACTCTCAAAAGTTTTGCTTGTCTTTTTATTTTCATACCATAAAAAATAACTAAAATCTCTAAAAGCTTTTAGTGTCTGAATTAAAGTACATGATTCATACAAGTAAATATATGTAGTACCAGTAAATTTAGAAAATCAGTGGTGAAAACCAACTCAGAGATAATCAGGAATATCTGCAATGAACCAACAAACATTTAAAACAATTGACAGTTACTTTATAATTAAAATTAAAATCATGCATTATATTTTATTAAATTGTCATTATAACAGGCATTAGTTTCATTATAAATGTTTAGCCTAAGCAATAAACACCAAACTGTTTTGATTAACAATAGTCTTATAAAAAAGTAAGTATCAAGATTATATTACAACTGAAAACAAATGGATTATGAACTAGCAGTCTGGACATTAAAACTGTGCCCAACAATAACATTTAAGAGATCACATTTTGGTGAAATCAGAAAAGCTGCTCGAAACATGATTTCACAAGTAATTCAATACACAAGTCATGAAGAAAAGCAGCTCCTATTAAAAATTTTCATGTATGAAACAGAACAAATATCCAACTAAAAATATGTGACATAGTTACATGAATAGCTCAGAAAAAACGGCTTGCAAGTTAACAGAAAGCATATTTTGCTAGCAAATATGAGAAAATAATAGGCATAACAAGTTTATACTTATTAGGATATGCAATATTATTTCAAGCAAAGTAGTTGAAAATAAAATAAAAACCTCATACCACGAGTCATATTTCAAATTCCTTTTTAATGTTTTTTTCTTTTAGTGTAAAGTTACACAATGGTCTATCTGCATTTTGTCCACTACAGGAAACCAACTCCAGATTTTAGTGTTGTAAGGGCCTTAAATTTACTGCTGACTTAACAAGGGGGCTTCTTTGAATGGAGTATAGTTTTTTACGATGATAATTTACTTCCAATAATGTTGATATCAAGATGATTAAATGGTCGGAATTTTAATTTGTTTCGTGTTGAATACGAGCTTGTTTCAATCGTGCAAGATTTTGCAAGTTGTAATGCACTGCTACTGTGACTCCTGGCACGAGATTAGACACACAAAGACTTCTGTGAGTTGGCTTCTAATTTCAGTTCAGCTGTGAAATGTTATTTTCTGGCTTAAGTTTTCTAATATTAAATATGGATATCTCAACCTTCAAGTTAACATCTTGTTTTTACACCATTCAATCCTAGTAGGGCCCATATATTACATAATATTGAGTCCTTTAATCTTTTTGCCACTTACAAGACTCAACATAAGTAATTACCAAAAAATCCTGTAAAATCACTCATTTTCTATGTAAAATCACAGGAAAAAGTGGAATGGCAACATTGAAAATATTTTTTTTATATTTTTTTTTATGACTCGTATATTATAAGGAACCCATAACCAACAAAGTCATGGACCTATAAGCATTTTCATGCATAGATAGTTTAGAAAAAATTTAAAGAGTCAATGATGTCAAATGTGGATCCCAATGGTAACTAAAGGGTTAAAGTTTGGACAAAAGTAATTCTTCTTGTTTGGTAACACATTTTAAAGTTGTTCTAATAAGCCACGACTTAAAGAAAGTTATTAGTTACAATAAAAGTTAATAAGTTTACTAAGACAGATGGCCATCTCAGGCCCTCTGAAATAGTCCACTACCCATTTCTGTGTAATAAGATCTCAATCATAACTACTTACTTACTGTCATTCTATGTCAGATCTCACCTTCTTAGCTAGGTTAATAGTGAAGAATGTTACTCGATGGATATTTTTTTAGACATGTGTAGTGCAGTCTGTCTTAATGTTTTTTGTTTGTTTTTATATACCTATTTTATAATTTCAAAACATAAAATATGAATCATAAATTTATCTGGAAATATAAAATTACTTTTTGTGATAATATAATATAAAGATGGGTGTAAAATAAAAGGTGAGCGAGGACTACCACGTCAAGGACGGGCGTGGCCAAAGAAGTTAGTCCAAAATCTAAGAGTTGGAATGCTGAACATAGGAAGCATGACAGGAAGGGGTAGGGAGCTGGCAGACCTGATGGAGAGAAGAAAGGAGGGAGGATTGTGTGTGCAGAAGACGAGGTGGAGGGGGAACAAGTCGAGGGACATTGGTGCAGGGTGTAAGCTCATCTACATCGGAGCAAACGCCCAAGGGCGGAACGGTGTAGGCATTGTACTGGACAGTAAGTGGAGGGAGGATTTGGTGAGCGTGGGAAGGAGGAGCGATAGGATAATGAGTTGGAAGTTGGAAGTACGGTTCTAAATGTGGTTTGCGCATACGCTCCACAAGTGGGATGTACTGAGGAAGAGAAGGAAGAGTTCTGGAGACATCTGGACGAAGAAATACAGTCGATACCGCAGGAGGAAAGAGTGTTTCTGGGAAGGGACTTGAATGGGTACATCGGAGCAGAAAGAGGGGTACTGCCCAAGGTAAACAGTGGATGGGGTGTAGAAGGTGAGAGCATCATAGACTTCGCATTGGCAAACGAGATGGCAATAGTAAACACTTTCTTTAAAAAAACGACACCAGCTTGTAGTACTGGATTGCGGAGTCAAAGGTGCCAAGAGAGGAAAACAGCGAA